CTTGCGTTCGTAAAATCACGACAGTTGAGGAAAATAAAACCATACATTTTATAACATTTTGAAATACAGTCCGATATATGATGTGTAAAATAAAACTTATTGTCGAAAATTACACCAAGGTCTTTAAAGCGATCTAATCGAACTAAGTGTTTGCCTTCTATACTATAATTGTAAATAATGTTAATTTCTTTTCTGGAGTAAGTAACAATGTAACATTTTTCTTTATTTAGACACAGCCGGTTGTTGTAACCCCAGTTGGAGAGAATATTTACATCATTTTGCAGTTTTACGCAATCACTTAGCGATTTTACTTCGAGAAAAAGTTTCAAATCATCTGCAAAAAGTAACTTATTACTTGCTATAACATCAACTACGTCGTTAATAAAGATTAAGAATAGTAGCAGACCTAAATTTGACCCTTGTGGCACTCCTGACGTAGGCGAGAAGGAATTAGATATGAAATTATTATATTTAACACTCAAATTTCTTCCAATAAGGTACGATTCCATTAAAGATAATAAGGGTTTAGTAAAGCCAAAGCATTCAAGCTTTTTTAATAAGATATAGTGATCAATCTGATCAAAGGCTTTACTAAAATCGGTATAAACGACATCAATTTGATTTTTATTGTCAATTGCCTCGGATGCATATTGGCTAAAAGATGCCAAGTTAGTGACTGTTGATCTTTTTTCGACAAAGCCATGCTGAAGAGGAGTTATGTAACACTTTATGCTCGAATAAATTCTTTTGTATAAAACGGACTCAAGAACTTTGGCAAAGTTGCACAATAAGCAAATAGGTCTATAATTTTCTATACAAGTTATATCTCCCTTCTTAAAAATTGGTGTAATTGATGCTCTCTTCCAAACATCAGGAAAAACAGATGAAGTCAATATTAGATTGGAGATGTAAAATAGAGGTTTGGCGAACACGTAGGCACAATCTTTTAGTAGGAAACTTGGTATCATATCAGTACCAGACGTGAAAGAATCCTTAAAGGTTTTTAGAACATGGAGAATTTCGTCTTCAGATACATGTGAGACTGCTACAATTAAATTCAAAATTTCTTGACCCGTGAATTGAAGTGGACTATTGGGATTTGATCCGATGTATACACTGCTGAAGAAGGTGCTAAAGTCATTGACGATATCAACTGGTAAGGTCAATTCGGAGTTTTCATACTTCGTAGAACTTGGGATCCTCGAGCGGCCTCTCTTATTTTGTACATAGGACCAAAAATTTTTCGGATCGTTAGAAATTTGGGCTTGAATATTATCAATATAGTATTTATGAGCATTAATAGTTAGAACTTTGCACAATGATCTGAAAAATTTGAATTTATTAAGGAAGTACTGGGTTTTGTATTGCTTGAATTGTTTATGAAAATAATTTTTTTGACAAATACAGTTAATTAATTCTTGGTTGAACCAACATGGATATCGAGGATTACTATTTTTAAACTTAAAAGTAGGAACTGAAGCTTCAAATGTTTTATATAATATGTCGTAAAAAGTAGAGCATGCCTCATTGACATTATTTGAGTTATAGATGGCCGACCAGTCCGTGGTTAAAAGAGTGTTATATAAATATAAAAAATTTGCTTTTTTAAAGTTGAACTGTTTAGAGTTCGGGTTCATCTGGAAATTATTCACTGGTTTTACCTCAATTTGACACTGAACTTCCAATGCTGGATGGTAACGATCTTCATCAACTAAAAGGTTGTCAGATTTACAAACAAGAACTGTTGAATTACTAAAAATAAGATCAAGAGTACGATTAAGGATATTAAGAATGTGATTAAATTGAGATAAGTTTAGGAAGCTCGCAAAATTGTGTAAAAGTGATGAAAACCGATCATTGGAATTTGCAGAAAATTGTGGAATATTAAAATCTCCAACGATGAATACCTTATTATTATGAAGTTCTTTCAAACTACTTAAGAGATCTAAAAGCAGTTCATAGTCTTCATATGAAGTGGAAGGTGGAATATAGATTACAAGTACATAGAAGAAGCTTTTATAAGTCGAAGAAATCGTCACACAAATAATATCAATAGTAGGCAGTGTATCAGTAATTGAAGAAAGGTTTACTTGTACGCAAGTGTGCACATTTTTTGCAGCAAATAAAACACCACCGCCCATTGAGGCATTCAGCACATTATAATTTCTATCTTTACGGAAGACAACATAATCTTGTGTGAAAAGTTCACTGCTTGATATACTCTCAAATAACCACGTTTCTGATAAGGCTATGAAATCGAAGTTGCAGACAGAAATATTTCTATAAAACATATTGACTTCATCAATTTATCAATTCTCTATTTGGAGATATTAAACGTAAAACTACAATTAGAAGCATATTTAAGAGTCTCCGGAAAAAGACACGCCACTTTCAGTCATTTCTTTCCTATTTACATCAAGTACTGTAGTAGCAATACAGGTTTCTTTACTATAAGATAAAGATGTTGACGTCAAAATTTCCCCTCTTCCCATGACTAACTTTGACACTTTCTTTTTCTTTTCCACGGAATCTTCAATATAAGTTTCTGCCACTGCAGAAGAACGCCAACCATCCAAGCGTTTTAAAGTTACTAAGTCAGCTCCTGAATCGGCGAGTAAGGTGGCGGTGTCCGACGGAAACAATGTCCGGTGTACATTTTAGGATTACCCAAGTTCAAAAATTCTGCAACTACCGAAGGTATCTCTTTATCAAATCTGATATTATAGTCACCTGCAATGATAATGTTTTTTTCTCGTCCGTTAATAATATTAAATATTTCAAATAATATGTATATCCAAGAATGTACCCAAATTACCGAAAGGCGTTCTATAGATATTTATGAAGATAATGTCTACATTATAAACACTTACGGCCGATATTTCACACTGATTTTCGACTGAGGGTTGAACTAGTTGTTGATTATTGCAGCAGTGTATATCACTTCTAGATAATATAAGCAAACCTCCGTGCTTCATTAAGTTGCATGAGAAATGCGACCTCATCCTAAATTTGTAAATTTTTTTTAAAAATTCAACTTCCTGATCATACAGCCAATGCTCTGTTATACCTTCTAAAGAACATTTTTCATCGGTTAGCATCATTTCAACTTCATCTAGCTTTGAGAGGATGGACGGTATATTAAACACTAATATATTAAATGTGGTCTCTTGGCTTGGTGATTTATCTTCCTCAGTTTGTGGAATCGTCTTGTGTGAAATATTTCCAGAAGAAATTCATTTTCTGGATGTTGAAACGATGCTGGCTTGTTAATGTAAAAAACCTATATAGTTTGATCATAATGCCTTTAGGCCAGTTTATAGAATTATATAGTTGTTGTGTCAGATTTTCTTCCGCGTCAACGTTAAACATGAAGGCAGCATTCGAACCTTTGGATGTTAATTTTTTGACAAAGTTTTTGTTTGGCTATTTCTGTATCAGATGCTCCTGAATATAATTTACTGTAGTTATGTCTTAAATGAAACATCAAATTAACTATTTACTATTTTTATCAATAAAGTTTATCATGATAGGGTCTTATCTGTAATGATTAGTGAATATCTCGTATTTCAAGTTGTGGAAAAAATATTTACCCATTTAATTACTGTCTTATTTGGGACGAAATATGAAAGTTATATTATCGAGATTATGTGTGCGCGGAATTGTATCTCATGCGCTAGAACCAGTGCTGTCGCGGCGATAGTTTCATTACAAATATATTTTTCTTTTGGATTATTTCAACATAATATAACATTTCAAGATCACAAATCTGTGGTCCTGTGGTTGAAAAATTAAAAAGGGCATCAAGTATTATTATTTGAAGTAATATAGTAATATAGAAGTAGTTTTTTACTAGCTGTAAACACTCCTAGCGACGCACTGGCTACGACCTTGTGGACCAGATCAAGGCGTCGCCGTAAAACACACCTTACTTCAACTGGAGGATTGCAGCGGTGAGATAAATTCCCGCGTACTGAAGCTTCAAAGGACAACGATTTGTATAAAAACAAGATTTAATTTCAAATAGGATTATTGTTGAAATTAGTCAGAATTAATAATACCTACTGCTTTTATTTTGTCACGAACGATATTGCAGCAGAATAATTTCCGAGCTAATTTAATATTTTGTCGGCGTTTCACAGGTTAAGTAATGCCGAAATGCAGGTAACGTCCATCTATATCTCTGTCTGATACCAAATTCTTTAATTTTAAGTGCTCTCAAAATGATCACGAAAACGGAAAAGTAGGGACTATCTAAAATTTGTCTTTTACGCCCTCCAAAAATTGATGCTGTCCTTTTAAAATATTGTTAAATAAATCTCACCAAGTGTGCAGCATGTGAAGTTAGGAGGATTAAATTTAAAAACTCTTGTCAGGGGTATGAGTTTTCAAAATTTTGGTAAAATATAAAGACTGGCTTGAAGAGTGTCAAAAATTAACTAAAATACATTTGCTCGTCCTAGTCATAAAAGTTATAGCGTTCTTTCAAAAGAAATTATGAAATCAATATTTTCTGAAATCGATTTTTGTTATAATAACTGTACTAAACATTACATTTGAGAAAAGGTTAAAGCTTCGACTTGTTGTACTTTAACTTTTTCAGTAATAGGTTTTTCTGTATCTCTCGACCCTGTATCAGGAGCTCACGATTTTAAGTAGATTGTCACATATAAAGGATTCTTAAAATTTTCATAAAAAAATTTGACTTTGTTTCTGATTCATTCCAGTGACAAGAAAAAAAGAAGACATAATACCTACCTTACATTTTAGGTAGTTTTGTTCGAAAATAAGAGATGTTATAGTGTACAGAAATAGTTCTAAATACTAAACATGAAATTCTGGAACTTTTAAGAATCGAAAGTGTCTTTCTAAAAAAAATGGTGAAAATACACTGGTTTTACCTCGAAACATGATTGGATGCTTTTAACTAGGAAGAACTTGCATCCAACTACATTATTGTAAAAGTAAAATAAAAACACACAAAATAATTTTATTTTTGCCTATTTAAACAATCACAATAACCAGTATCAGTCATCTTCAACAGTCTTGTGTTTTTGTTGATTTTATAAAATTACGTGTACCTAATTAATCTAGCCAAATGCAGTCTTAAACTAATCAAAATCTAATCAATTTCTTCATAATCTGGCCTTATAGCATTCCTTTTACGTTTAAGTACACTTGCATGAAGTATAAAATGCATTATTCCACAAAATAAAGCCACCCATGTAAAAGTTTGAAAAGTAGCTTTCCCTCCTAAATAACGATAAAACAAACCACCGACCACACTTCCAACGGCGTATCCTAAAATTAATTTCATAGATTTGCAAAAAATATAAACATCCTGAACAAATACTTACCAGCGCCATCCCCCATTCCAGATGCAATCCCCTGCATGGTAGCTGACATGCCAGGAGGAGCTAATTCATTAGCATAGGCCACAATTGCGGTATACGTAAGGGCGAAAGTTGGTCCTTGCATAAAAAATTCAATGGGTAAAAACCACCACGGCGACGGTGCCGCAGATATTAGCGCTAGACGCAGTGCATAACTCATAAAACACATAGTAAAAGTATGAACATGACCTAAACGTTGCAAAATTTTTCCTACAAAAATATAAAATTGATTGTTTGTTAAACTAAGTGAGGGAATTGGTAACCTGATATTAAAAAGAACAGTGCTTCAGCACCAATAGTTTCAGCTGCCAATGTTAATCCTTCTATTAATTTTACTTGTGTTGTACCTGTCTGTACCGCTAGATCTTCTAAATACCTGAAATCGTTTTATCGTATTTTCGAAAATAAAAAAAGTTAATTGATGTACCAAAATAAAAAATAAATTATCAATCCATCTAACATTCCTGCCAGTACCGTAAATGTTATAAAGGTGACTACGTGCACATTAGTTAGAAGGACTTTCAAATCGTTAAAAATATTTTTTGGTGCCTCCATAACCGGTAGCTTAAATGATTCGTTGTATTAAAATATAAGTTTTTAATTAAAATTATAAGCATCATTACCTCGATAAATTTTGCGCAAACAAACAGGTCTAAAATTGAAAAAAGAGTCATTATTACAAAAGCTGGTACGTAATTGGCGGAAGTCTTTGAAAACATGTCGATGATGTATCCAGAAATTAGTCCAGCGAAACCAAACCCTATAGATCCCCATAATCTTTGATTACCGTAACTGGACTGATCTTCAACCTAGCATTTAAAAAAATGCAAATTTAGTTTTTGCGTCAAGTTATTATTGAAGAATACTCACTATATCAAAGCATATAGCGTCGCTAATAGAATTAACCACATTAAATCCTATTGTTCCAACAGACATAAAAATGATAAAACTCCAAAAGGTGAATGAGCTGTACAATCCATTATCTGGATCTTCAACACAAACAAAACTGCACTTTGACAAATTCGCCAAAAAATGTGTTTGAGGGGTTAAACATAGTTGGTAAAGGGACTGTTCATTTTTAACACTAGCCATCAAAACAAGCGATTTTGGCAAACAGCTGGAATTACATACCACGGGGAAAACAGTTTTACCACACGCGTTCCAAAAAGTGTAATCAATAAAATCAAACTCAAATTTTGCAGTTTGACGAGACGGTACGAAGTATATTCCACAGAAACTTAAAGTCATGACGAAAATTAGAAATAAAAATATCGGTTTCCTCCATTGTCTGTAAACGTCTATTAAAAGACCAAAAAAAGGTTTTGTCAATAAAAATGTGAATGGCAAAATGCCTGTAACTGTTCCCATGACTATAGCTGATATTCCAATATCTTTTCCCAGAAGAGGCAGTTGTGGTAAAATTGGACCCAAAGCTAGAGAAACAGGAACAATTAATTTTTGTAAATGATAGCTTTATAAACAACTCACCTGCCATAAAGAGAAAATAATGAAGTTTTATTGGTAAAAGTTTTCTGTTTACTTTCATTTTAACTTAACTTAAGTAACTTCCTTCTTCCACTCATTCACAAACATGTGCGTGAAGACAATGCCATGACAAATGGGTACAAAGTTTATTTCTTATTACAGATTAATCTTATCATTATTCTTTATTTAAAAAGGTATTGTAATATTATACACGTGTGCCGAGAATTTGAATTCGTTCATCTGTTTACAATAGACATTTAAATGCATTCTATAGATTTATCACTTACTTATGTATGGACTGTTTACTACACGAAGTGAACACATACATAGTAGATATCGACTAATAAGCCTTTTGAGAACACACAAATACTAACAAGAAACGAGAATTTATGTCAAACTTTTATCTCTGCATGCCGGTAGTCTCTGATACGCAAATTAAATAGAATAGTGTACTAAAATAAATTAGAAACAAAGCTTAGCTTGTGCGTAACAATTAGACAGGGATCATTATCTTGACAATAATTTATATTTTGTTAAAGAGATATAGTTTCTTAACATTTTCTTTTGTCGGGGTAAGCAAGTAAACAATGTTTTTTATTTTATTCAATTATTGTTAGACGAATTTTAGGTATATTAGTTATTGATAAAGCCTATAAAATAGAACTTTGAAAAAATTAAGTCAATTATTTTTTATTTAAACTTTAAAGTTATAAATCAGTTAATTTATTAAACATTTTGTATTTAACAGTTCTAAAAAATAAAAATATATTACTAAAACTAAAACAATCAGTGTGGCGCTTCGAAATATATTTTTTAACAAACATTTATTTTATGAACTTTTGCGATGACGTCATTAATATTCTAGAGAGGATGAATAAAGGATTTTTAATAATTGTTCTGCAATCATTGGATGAATGTTAGCACTTTTTCAAAATTACAAAATAATCTGCAGATTATAAAACAAATTGTAAACATGTTTGTAGAAATGTTATTTTTGAGAGATGTTAATGTGAGATATTGTTAATCCGCCATTAAAGGACCATGTGACACAATAATTTTAGATTTACTTAACAAAATTTGAGACGACGGACGTTAAGTTTTTGAAAGAAGCAACAATGATTCCTGATCAGGGATTTCCTACGTTTAACCTTCAACCGTGTGCAGAATTTAAGTGTTAAGACGGTTAAACTGTAAAAACCATAAATTGATACTGTAAACTGAATCTTTTCTTAATGTAGATTTAGGTAAAGATTTATACTAAAAGTAATAAAACACAATTTTTTTAACTTCTAACTACATTTATTAGTTTACTAGTATTATGGGAACATAACTCAAACTGTCATAACAATTATGAACTAAAATCAGAAGGAACTGTTATTACAAATCTTTGTAACAATCAAACGTGAGTTTCGGCAACATCTCAGCATAGAAAACCTATTTTATCTCAAGTAATCATTACAGCTTTTTCAAAAATTTTACATGCTTACAAAAAAAAGTACAAAAGTCCTTGTTTTTGTCTCCTTTCTAAAAAATGTTCCCACATTTTTGGATTTTAAAATTATTCCTTTCTTTCCTCGAATTTTTGCATCCTGTCCGCAGCACCAAATTGTATGATGGTCTTCCCGGTTCTTTTCTAAATTTGCTCATTTAAATGTTTGGTGTCAGAGTGAGAGACCTTGATGGCCGATTTATTATTTTTCTAAATTTTTGAATTTTAAAATTATTCCTTCCTTTCCCCGAATTTTTGCATCCTGTCTGCAGTGCCAAATTTTGTGATGGTCTTCACGATTCTTTTCTAAATTTGCTTATTTAAATCCTTATTGCTCCAGTTTTTGCCGACGGCCTTTGCAAAAATTTGCTCCTTAGGTCCAGACCTATGAAAGACTGCTTTGGAAGGTGAGAACGGTAAACTAAAACGCGAGGTGAGTTCACTCCATAGGTAATCTATTGATACCCCAGTAATACATCTTAACTAAGGTTATGAAATGATGGTGCTTAAGGGAACAATAAATGACAATAAATGTGAATATTAAGCTATTTTAAAAGAAATTAGTAGTGTTGTGTGCCTTTATAACGGCAATATAACAGAGTAGAATTGTTGGTTTTTTTTTAGTCGCGGTACATTAATCGAATAGGGCCATGGGAAGTCGAGGGGGAGTAGTCTATTAATCTAATCAAGTAATCCCTCTAACGAACGAGGCACAAGTTCTACGTGCTGTAGGTTAAATGTGTGGATAAGTTAGACACGGGGGCAGAATTTAGCAAGCCCTAGATATGCAAGTAAAAGTTAGCCCAATACGGAGGCTTTATGATCTGATGCTCTTGCTTCATGGCGGTTAAAAGTAAACAACATCTAATGAGCTGGTAATGTAGCATTGTGAGGGAAATATACTGCGTGGAAACGAAATTAATTAGACCACTGATAACTTAAATCATCATGCAATTGTCTCGACAACTGAAAGAATCGAGGAGGTGCTCGATGCCTGGTGGTAGAGGTAACTTCTACCCGTCAGCGAATGTTGGGTACCGCGACTAAACGACTGAATCGAAATTACTCAACTGCTAAGATCTAATTCCGTTTCCTATTTGTAGGAGTTTTAGGCCCTGGAGGCGGGATGAGGAACACGTTTCTCACGGTTTGTCGTCGCCAGGTCATGCAGGTTATCAAAAAAAAAACGGTCAGACCAGACATCCTTGAGCACTGGTGTTGCCCATAACTCTGGACTTTCTTAGAGTTTAACTGTTATTGAAATGATCAGGTTGGTGGACAGTAAATTCTGCCCATATTTGGGACGCAATGTGTTTTGACTTGTTTCTTGGAAGAATCTAGAAAAAGAAATGAGCACGTTGTGGATTGCTATTGAAATGATTTGATTGGTGGACAGAAAATTTGAGAACGAATGTGTTTCGACTAAATTCTTGGAAAAAGTGTATACAAAGAAATGAGCGGTGATTGGCTTGTTTTAAGAACGGAATTTCCAATACGCCATAAAATAGATTTGGGACTTGCTGAGAAGTGAACAGTGCCCATTTTGTTAAGATGTATAAACAACCTTAATATCGAGTCCTCTGGAAACTGTTTTTAGCCCATTTATACTGAAGGGGCAAAAGCGGCTGCGATCAGAGCCTTCAGAGTTTTCTCGGAAACTCTAAGGATAAAGTAGGGCCTGATGAAAATACGAAGATTTATAAAATAAGCTGAAAACATTGTAATTAAAAATATATTGATCAATTACATTATGTAATTATGTAGTTCAGACCGCGGGTCCATCCTGAACTCGTCCCTCTACACCCTTATGGAGTTAGAGAGTAGGAGGAGAAGTGTAGATATGATATAAATTAACGGAGTTGTAATTCCATTTTAGATTAGTTTGGTCTAGATACTGTCAACGGGGTTAGCGAAACGCGTAGACAGTTTTCGTGTTTTCGGTGTTGGATAGTAATAGTGTTGTGGCGGCACATAACACGTCGGTAAGCAGAGAAAGATAAGTGGCCTTGTGGTCTAGTGGTTAGGATGCTTGCCCGGAGAGCGAGAGGCGTGGGGTTCGAATCCCACCGAGGCACAACATTTTTCTCCGCTTACTTTAAGTATAATAATCGAAACAGACGATACATGGTTGCACTACTTTTGTTAGCAAAGAAAAAAAATGCATTTGCTATTACGTAATAATCAAATATTCTTGGGATGTTGTGGTTCAATTTTAGTCAGTTTTTCTTCCATTAATCACATCACACGACTAATTTCTTTGAAGAAAAAACACACATAGCACATCACACATAATTGTCATGTTTTTCTGATATGAATAGTATTATAAGTTACTCAATAAGTTTCGACTTGTTAACAGTCTCCTGTAAATACTCTTGCGTCACTTTTTACTTATCTTTAATGGATGATCATTTTTGGAATTAACTACAATCTACAGTGTCTCTAAAAACAACGATAAAATAAATTTCACCACTTATATCAGTGATAAATTAGTTATTACATAATGACTATATACTGTATAAAAACAACAAAAAAATAAACAACAGAATATGATGTTTCTATAGTTTCATTAACACAGTTAGGTATTCCAAAAATGGCCGTCGTAGCTTTTTAGCAAAAATAAGACTGCATTGTATTAAAAAATTTATTAGAAAAAATATATCAATTGAAAATTAAATAACTACTATTTATAAAATTATTTCTTCATTAACATTAACTATCCGGGTAAGTCGCTTTATACGCCTCTTCAGGACTCTTGTATTCAACAATTTCTTCACTTTTTTCCAGCAACTCTTTACGTAATACTGTCCTGTGAAGTAACGCATGCGCAATACTACACAGTAGTCCAAATGCACTAAAAACTTGTAACGTAGACTGACTACCAAGATATTCGAACATCACTCCTCCAAGAATACTACCAATGGCATATCCTACAAGCAACAACTTCAATATTTGCACGATTATTATACAAGAAAAACGTACCGACGCCGTCATCCATTCCTGCCGCTATTCCTTGCATGGTCGCTGATGCCCCCGGAGGCGCTAACTCATTGGCATATGCAACAATTGTAGTGTAGGTGAGGGCATACGTAGGTCCTTGCATAAAGAACTCGATCGGTACTATCCACCAAGGAGAGGGTGCCAAGGATATTAACCCCAATCGGAGAGCGTAATTAATAAAGCACATACTAAAGCAATGTACGTGACCGATTCGTTCCAAAATTTTTCCAGCCACTGAGAAAAAAATTACTTCACCACCAAGAGTTTCAGCAGCCACTACTAAACCCTCTATTAGTTTCACATTGGCTGTGTTAGTAGCTGTAGCTAATTCTTGAAGATGCCTGAAAGCAAAAATTAATTAATTTTAAAACCACAAGTAACAACTAACACCCACCAAAAGAGAAAATAAATTATTAGACTGTCTAAGACTCCTGCAAATACTGCGAACGTAATGAACGTAATTACGGTTTTACTGTTTAGAAGTCGCCGTAAGTCTTTAAAAATATTTTCTGGCACTGGAATAATCGGAAGCTAAAATTTAACGTTTAATGTTTAACTTTCAAGGATTTTATGTTTACCTCAAGCTTAATGCATGCTCCCAGATCTATGACTGAACACACCAAAATTGTCAGAAAGGCAGGAGTATAATTGATTGTGTTGTCAGAAAACAGATCAACGACGTATCCGGAAATTAAAGCTGTTACGCCAAACCCTATGGTGCCCCATACTCGTTGTTTTCCATAGTCGCCATCTTTTCCTAAAATTTTTGTGTTAATGCCAAGTCTCTAAAGCCTTGTTTGTTTACCAATTACGTCAAAACATATTGCGTCACTAATTGAATTTATGACATTGAAGCCTATTGTTCCTACAGACATAAGTACGACAAAACTCCAGAATGATAATGACTTATACAAGCAGCCACTATCAATTTCAACGTCTTCATTGCTGCAATATATGTCACAGAGAATGGATTCTGAAGAGTTTTCTGAAGAGATTTCTGAAGTATAGTTGGAAGTGGATGGAGTACCAATTGAAAAAGTACATATATTGTAGCTTGTTTCACTAGAATTATCGGGGATGGCAAGAAAACTTCCAGGAAGGAAACATTTTGACTTACAGTTGACCCGTACAGTGTGGTTAGAACATTCCACGTAACTGTTCAGTTCCTATAAGAAACACATAAAAGTATGAAATCGTGGGCTAGTTTTTCTCAGTTAGTTAAATTTGTCGAATCAAGACAAATTTAATATAGATTTTGCTATTAGTAGCGGAATGTCTGCAAAATCTTAAGATATTTTTGTAATATAGACAACACCAAAAGAAAAATAAACGATAGCGATAAATTTCCTTTCATAAGGTGACGTTTCTCTAGTTCAAAGTGTGAAATTTAAATGTGCACAAACTTTAAACCTCTGACCTGCTGTTCTAATTTAAGTCTTGAACACGCTTAAGAGAGGTGCGTCAAATTTAAATATTGGAAACATCATTTTACGGACGTAAGCGCTACAACTTTTTGTTGTGCTCTAATGTATTGCTATCATTTATTTTTTATTTAAGCTGCGCACATTAAACTACTGACTGTAACATTACATGTGTCCGGAGTGGCGCTAAAATTCCTGAACTCCAGTTTCAGCACTTGTCGTGGAGGAATAAAATTCATCACAGTGTATGATACGGTCATCACAACTATCAACAACATGAAAATCATTTTTCTATAATTTCGATAAATGTCCACCAATAAGCCGAATGCTGGCTTCGCCAAAAGGAAAGCGAAGGGTAGGATTCCAGTGATGGTTCCCATAACGACTGATGATATACCTAGTTCTTTACCATAAACCGAAAGCTGTGGTAAAATTGGACCCATTGCTAAAAAAACAATTTTATTTAACAATTAAGCATAATTAAGTGTAGTAATAAATCTATACAAAATTATATGGGCAGATGGATACCTTAAGAACAAATTGAAATATTGAACTGTAAAAGACACTAGTTTTAGCCAAATTAGAGAAACAAAAATAATTTCTATTTTTTCAAATTTAATACTATTTACACAAAATTTGTTTCTTTTAAGACAAGGAAGCGTGTTTGTCTACGCGATTGTTTTTAATAGAAAGGTAAGTAGAAGGTAATATACAAATATACTTGCTAAAATAAATTAATTAAATGCTCACCTGCCATAAAGAAAAAATAGTGGGCCTTTATAGGCAACAGTTTCTTGTTTATGGCCATTCTTTCCAGAGCTCAGGTTCGTATGGTTCACATGAGAGAATGCTGTTCTGCAGAATTAACTATATTAACTGAAATAAATACAAAGTCAGACAAAATGAGTATCATCGTTTTTTTATTACATTATCAGCCTAAAAGATAACATTTATCTGTACCCGTTCATATTAATCTCATTGTAGGAGATCGTCAACGAGCAGACTGGTTTATCATATGTATGTAAGGTAGAATTAACTCTTACTGAACCTCAGAAATGATAAAAATTAAGTTGTAACTGTTATGTCAATACACTTCATTTTTCCTAAGGATACACTGTACATAAAGCGATATCAAATTTGTCATTAAAATATTCCAAATTAAGTAAATACTGATTATTTTTATCTGTATGACTCACAAAGGGGGAAACGTGCAGGTGTTTCATAACCCAACCTTCTGTAATCTTTAATTTAATAATTATTTTTAATTCTGTTATTACGCCCTTGAAATAATTATGACTAAGTTTATTAGTAAGTAAAAAAAATATAAAAGCTTTGAAATTCATGAATCCTGATGTGAGCTTATAAATTTCACAGTTTAATTTTCAAAAAACCATACCTCAAACGTTGTATCTTGATTTTTACACAAAATATTATTAAATCAGTGCTGAAAACGGTTTCACACAAAAGTTCGTTTTTTTGCTTAAATTTAAGTGTGCTTTTGGGTGTAAGCACAAGTAAAATTTACACGATCTCGATAACTTATTTGTAGTAAGTTATTTAGATTTAAAATTACAAAGGCGCCAAGTGGAGATTAAAAATGTTTAGTGCGAGCATAAAAAATATAATAAAAACACTATTATGAATGTTTATTTAAAATTGTTCTTGCCATTAAAGCGACTTTGTGTTATCCTTTATTGCACCATGTATGTATAGTCAGACAAGGTTACACAGGCGAATGTACTTTGTTATCTTTTGTTCTTTAAATAAAAGTGATTTACTACTGCAATAGTAAGTGGTATTGATTTTATATGTTTTTCATTATTATGGATGGGGTGCCAAATATCAAATACACTAAAACAAAATGCAAATATTATTGCAACAGCAACGTAGGGTACCTTAATATTGATTTTTTGTTGTAACAGTTAGTATAATAACATATTTTTGACAAAATATTCAAACCCCAACAACTTGAAAACTGAAAATAAGTAAAATTTTAGCTTTTTGTCATGATTTTTTCTTTCGTTCTTCCAATATCGATGAATCATGTAGGTATCAGAGAAATGAATCAACTATCATTATAAAATTAATTAGTATTCACATTTTATTGAGACTGTTGAACGGTAACCTCTATAGTCACTACATTATGTGTCTGTAAATGGTTGGTCCATTAAACTTCCACTAGGAACGTAAATTATGTTATCGTTAATTTTATTTACCTTTCAATTTTATAAATTTTCACTATTTGTCAGAAACTACTACGTATCGTGACAATTTGACTACAGATTCTGTACAAACAAGGCGACAAAAATCAGCGTTCATTACTTATAATTAGTTATAATATCGGTAAGAATCATTTATAACCACTCTGTACTAGTATTCATATTGTACAAACTCTCAAGGTGATAAAACGTTGCAGTAAAATAAATAGTTACTTACTTTTGAGAATATTTTAAATTGCGATTACATCACTGTTAATGCACACGTTTTTTCGTATAATGCAGTTTCTGTGACTATAATTTAAAAGGTACAAAAGTTGGCACTTCCAGACAATATTTCAATTTTTTTTGTACGGAAATTAGCAAGAAGTACGATGAGCGTTTTGTCAACACATTGAATAATAAAAACTGGTTTTCAGATTTATTCAGTAATGACTAATTTCTGTTGAATGCTATATCGTAATGTTTCAAAAGCAGAACACCAAAGAAGCAGACAGTATAATGGTCGATTTTAATCTGAAATTGTACAAAAATCTAGCACCACGTCTTTCGCATTTAAGATGATTCAAATTGGAACAAAAGGACGACGTTTTTGGTTAGGTCTCAATAAATAGCAACATTTATGCAAACGTGCGTAGATTATTTCAGCGACATAATTAACCATTTTTATAATAATTTTTATTCAGTAAGTATTAACTTCTCTGTGAGATAAATTTGATACTTTGCGATGTTATGAAGATCTATTCGAACTTTCAGTTCTAGATATAGAGTTTATATTTTGATTTTTATAAAGATATGAAACATTTTAGGTTGTTATTTAATTTACAGCAAACTTCTTTCTTACCACATCGTGTTCAACTTGACAACACGTTATGAAAACATGTTAATTACAACGACCCAAAATCTACGTTTCCGAATTTCTGTATGATCTTAGGATACTCCTCCAACTTTCCACCTTCTTTGTGTCTGGTGGGACAAGTTTTCCCGAATTGAAACTAATAAAATACGTACTGCTATCTTACAGTAGTAGGTTTTGGGGTAGTATATATAAATTCAGTATTATTTAATTTAATTAATTATGAATAAGAATTATTCACAATTGAGGTAAAATGTTCACTGCTAAAACATCTAACGACAATACAATTTTTTAGGTTAAAGGAGCTTTCAAGTTCGATTCACCTTATTTTTCCAAGCATCCCACCGTGCCACTCAGCATTTTAAGAAGTTCTTTTTGTTCGATCTTTGCTTGAGATCTTTCCATTGGTCTTAAAATTCAGTTAACTGTGACAACGAATGTTGTATATTAGGTTTGAAAGTTAATAAAGTCATTTAAATAGAATATTTGCTAAAAAACTAATCGAAATGTGATTTTACCCATTTAGAATGAAATCGGGAATAATGAAGTACAATCGCACGCAAATGTTTTGAGCCTATGGGCGGATCGTTTTTGCCTGCCCTCACCGAAGAAGGCGGTCCAAATCCTTCAAGGCCAGAATTTGTAGGTAGGCTCAAACTACAACGAAATTCACATTTTACCCTATAAAATTTTATTGACAATAACGGGACGGACAGTAGTTATATATACATTTGGTAAGAAATATTTATGGCTCACACCAAGCTTTAGCAGGTAGTTAGTTGTTCCCATAAAATAATGGTCACTTTCGTTCGTGAGTAACGATGGTCCGGACATGAATTACTTTGCTTTCTAACATCTTTCGACCAATTGTTCCGTATACAAAATTTCATCACTTTTTCAAATAAAATACTCTTAAAAAAAACGATATTGTCGTTGAGTGACATGTAACTGGCATAATAATAAAAACGTGCCATTTTTGTTAACTGATATTTTTTTCATAAATGTCGCAAAATTATTAAATTTGTCTAATCATCCCCAGCAATAATGTGATGACGTCACTTCAAATGTATGCATAGTAAATGGGTTTTAAATTGTATACAGTAACATAGTCCTACACATGTAGTTTATGACTCCGTGTTGAGTTTTTATCCAAAACGTCCAGATTTTTGGAAAAAAAATCAAAATTATAAAACAATATTTTGCAAGTTAATTTTGAATTTGCAAAATCGAATACTTCGAAATCTTGCAGATGTTTGAAAATCATGATAAACATGATACATTTTTAATTAAAATATATTTGCTTATCCCCTCTAAAAAATGTATGACGTCACCTCAAAATTTTGCAGAATAAATCCTATCTTAAATGTATAAAATATGATGAGTTTTATACTTGTGATTTATCACTGCATTAATATTTTTTAGATTTGGTTATACAGGGTGTCCCAAAAAAGTTAATGACTGAGTCAATTTATTTTATTGAAGAAATCAAGAATAGCAAAACTGAATACTTTGAAATATTGTAGATGTTTTGAAGTTTTTGTAAGCATGGTAACTTTTTCGAAAATTTGATTAATCAAATATGCGCAAAATCAAAAATCGGAAAAACTGAAATTCACTAATGCAAAAAACAGAAATCGAAAAATACAAATCGTAAAAATTGAAAATCTAAAAATAGCTAATCAAAAAATCGAAAATTCAATTAATCAAATACCTAGGTTGATCGAAAAGTGGAAATTCACAAACCTCAAAAATCGAAAAATCGAAAATTGAAAAACGGGAAAACCAAAAAATCGAAAAGTCAAAAATTTGTAATATTGAAAATTAAAAAAATCAAAAACAAAAATTAAAAAAATCGGAAATTAAAATAATCAAAATATATAAAGTAAAAAAAATTGCAAAGTCTAAAAACTGAAACGAACAGAAAAATCGAAAAAGCAAAAAATTGGAAAAACAAAAATTCGAAAAATCTAAAATCGAAAAAGTGGAAAATGGAAAATCTGAATAAACTTGAAAATTCTGAAAATTGGAAAATCGAAAACCAAAAAATCGGAAAGTAACAAAATTGAAGTCTAACAGTTGAGAATGGAAAAATTGAAAAACCGAAAATTCTAAAAATCGACAATGGACAAATTGAAAATCGCAAAATTTAAATTGAAAAATTGAACATAGAAAAATCTATGAATTAAAAAATCGAAAATTCGACCACTCAAATTTTCGAAAAATCATAAAACTGAAAAATCCAAAATTCCAATCATCGAAAGTCTGAAAACTGAAAATCGAAAATTCTGAAAAGCGGAAAATAGAATATCGAAAAATTTAAAAGAAAGAAAATTGAAGTCTAAAAACCGAAGAATTGAAAAATTAAAAATCAAAAATTCGAAAAATCAAAACCGAAAAATTCAAAGATTTAAAAAGAAAAACCGAAAAATCGAAAATTTGATAAATCAGATATGCGAAAAACAGAAAATCTGAAAATGCAAAACTGGAACATCAAAAATCTAAAAATGGAAAAACCGAAAATCGAAAATTCAATGAATCTAATACGTAGGTCGATCGAAAAACTGGAAATTCACAAATCTGAAAAATCGAAAATTTGCAAGACTGAAAAACCGAGAATTGAAAAATCAAAAAACCAAAAAATGGAAAAATCAAAAATCGAAAAATAGGAAAACCGAAAATTCATAATATTGAAAACTCTAAAAGTCGACAATTCAAAAATCAAAAAACTGGAAAGTAAAATAATCGAAAAATCGAAAAGTAAACAAATTGCAAAGCCTAAAAACTGACGAACAGAAAAACCGAAA